AAGCGAATTAAAAAAAAATATTGTAGGACATTCTACTTTGCATTCCCCGCAATAAAGCAAAGAAGCGAATTAAAAAAAAATATTGTAGGACATTCTACTTTGCATGCCCTGAAATGAAGCAAAGAAGCGAAAAAAATAAAATATTGTATTACATTCTACATTCTACTTTGCATTCCCCAAAATGACACAAAGAAGCGAAATAAATAAAATATTCTACTTTGCATTACCGACAATGCCTAAAAGAAGCGAAAAAATTCCAAGGCATTACAACGCTATGCCTTCTAGAACACGTTACCACTAAAAGCGATTACCGATTTTTTGCTGGGAGATAAAGAATGTTACGTTGGCAATACACACTAAAGAAAAAATTTTGTAATACGTGTACATACAGTGACGAACAAAAGTATTGGCACAGTGAATTTTTCGCCATATATGCAAAGTTTTTTACTGTAATTTATTTTCGATAATTTTTTATAAAAATATAGTTCATTTTACACCAGAAAACGTAATAATAAAATCTCTAAACTTTGTGCAAAACTCAGGAAAATTCTTAAAATTTGCACACTAATTTGCAACTTTTTATTCAGATTTAAAAAAAAATTCAAAGTATGCAGTTTTATAGCCCATTCAAATTTAGTATAACAAAGTGCAAGTTTAAAGTTGCTAGAAAATCGCGTTGATTTTTGGCGTTGATTTTTCTGGTGTTGAATGAACAATATTTTTACAAAAAATTATCTAAAATAAATTAGAATAAAGATCTTTGCATATATTGCGAAAAATTCACTGTGCCAATACTTCTGTTCGGCACTGTATATATGTATGTAATTAGATTTGAGTTGCACCTGTAACTTATGTAGGGTTGATTGACATGAATAAAAAAAAAATCTAAAAAGGCTGTTGTTGGTATTTTGTTGGTATTTTGTTGCTACCAATGCATTAAATTAATGGAAATCGTTATAAAGTTGCCTCCAACGATCGTGTTTATGTTCTGAAATCTTCGCCTAATTTATAGCATACTCAATGAAAGAAAAAAATCATCAATAATATCTACAATTATTTCTATTTTGTATGCATTTCTCTCTTTTCTTTTCAAAACCAAAAAACCCTAAATATTATACGAAAAAAAAATCAAATCCCAGGCTTTGACTATAAAACGTGCAACGTTTTGTTAGCATTGGACCAACAATCGCCGGAAATCGCTGCTGGAGTGCATATAAATCGTGCCGATGAAGAAATCGGTGCCGGAGATCAGGTGTGAACGTGTTAACGAATAATTTTTCAATGCTGTTGCTTAAATTTTCTTTACGTTTTTTTT